AGTTTCTAAATTTATGGGGGGGGGTGATAATGTTTTTTTTTTTTTTTTTTTTTTTTTTTTTTTTTTTTATGAGAGAAGCGGGGGTGAAGGAGTGGAAGGAAGAAATTATGCTAAAAACTTGCTAAGATACAAATAAAAATTTATTTGGTCGGTGCTAACAGTGTGCGGAGATGCTAAAAAAACTTAATGGAGTTGTGGTCTTTTGATATTTACCAATTAGGAAGACAATGAGTAGATATAAAAAAAGTCATTATAGTAATTTGATGAGAAGAAGGAAGTGGGGGGTGCTAGCAATGTGCAGAAATGGGAAAAAAGTTATAAGATTAATATGATCCGATTAGATGAGGGAAAAAGAAAAGTATCGTAAAAGAGAAACCAGGTTGGCGATGGTTAAAAGAAAAAGTTAGATTGGCGAGATAACAAGTACCAATAAACATAATAGGAACTTAGACAATGGTTGGCCAACGCTATGGTAGACTACAATAGGTAAATAAATGACTAACCTAAAATGGTGGCTGTCAGTATTTCCCTTCTAATATGGTTGCTATGCAAGTTGAGGCTTGTAGACAGTTGAGATGGATAGCCTAGAATTGCCTATTTGGTTAATTCGTCCAAGAGGAATATTGGCTTGACGTAAATATACGTGTAAGAAGGTAATAAGAGACAACAGTGCACACAAAATTTTTTTAATAGATAAAGCATACAATGTATATAGTAAATGCAGCAAAACAATAGTATATGTAAAAATTATATTAGAAGCAATACTAAATTTTGTTTATGCACTGACTCTGAGATTAATTGGTATAATTTAAAGAAAGATAAACTAATTGAAAATGTTGTTGCATACGGTCAATTAAAATGAAAAATAATTTTTGAAAGTTGGATGTGGCGTGATGATAAGAACTTAACTGTTATTGTAATCATTACTTAAGTTTGTTTACAAAATATTGTTGATATTTTGCTTGGAAATAGAACGGCGAAAATGTGAAAAGAGAGGTTTAATAGAAAATCAATAATAAAATAAGTGGTGGGTTATAAATTTTGAAACAAGTATCTCTGCATTAAGCAAGAGTTGGGGCACAACATATAAAAAATTTAGAATATGCAATAACATTTAAGCCTATATAAATGCTTCTCAAAGTCAGAGTACAAAACAATAAAAGTTTAACATAGCGATGGCCTATACCTTAGAATGACAATTAATATTAAAGTTACTGAAAAATAGTATTATGATCGCCGAAATTTAATAAAAAGTAAATTGGCTTATAGAGAATCGCATTTAGCATTGAAATGAGCAAGCAGATATAAAAATAGATACAATTTGAAATAATTATAAGTATTGAATGTTAGCGATAAAAATAAATTGCATTAAAGTACATGTTAAGATGGCGATCCTATGCATTAAGCCTTAATCAATGGAACGTCGATTTTAAAAAATTAAAACATGAAATAAAGGGCTCCCAGGGCCCGGAAAAGACTCACCGGAGATGCCTTGAGTATTTACATAATGTTTTCGATGAGGTTTAGGAGTAGAAGATGAATTTTTATTCCTTTTTTAGTCGAAAAAATATCCCACTATAATTTGCTAAACAACATCGGTGGGTAGCTAGATCAGTAGTAGCATTATAGGCATGATGTCATCCATACCTGGTGACTTATAAGACTTAAAAGATTTAATAGACCATACGACTTTTTCATAGGAGATCACCATCTTGGACGCCTCCCAACCATTTATACTACAAGTAGTTCTAAAGATATTAATTTTCTACAGGATTAGATCCAGGGAAGTGAGCTTTAAGTAATTCTCTAGAAGCCTCTTTCTCTGACTCACTATATTTTTCGTTCATAAGACAGATAGCATTTTGTTTGCAAATATAATCTTTGTAACGATTTTAGCCAGCTTTGCGGTGGCAAAAATTGTGTTAATACCATCGCAGAAAGTCTGCCAAGAGCGACGTTTAGCATCTTTAATAACCTTATTATAGATAGTTAGAGCGTTACGATATGACTGCCCTTCTCCAGATTTCCTTGCTCTGTTAAATAGCTTCCTACATTTCTTACGTACTTTACTAAGCTCAGAATACCAGTAAGGATCTCGCTTTGAAGAACTAGTGGACGTAACATTACAAGAAATATAATATGAATCGAGTATGATCTATTGCTCTTGGTCAAGAATCCATTCAATATCTTTAACATTATTATACTTACCAGCTAGATTTCCCAATTTTTTTCACAGGGTTGTCCAGAAGGAATCACAATCTATTACTAGGAACTATTTTGGGATCCCTCCTTGTGACCTTTAGTTCAGTGAGGTCTTTAATAGAAAAGGTAATTAGTTGGTGATCTGAAGCAGTGGCTCCATCAGATACCTTCCAATCAGAATACATAAAGTAAGAACAATAGATCAATAACTTCCCTTCTGTTACTCGTAACAAAGGTGGGTTCGCTGCCTTTATTGAGGACATATGAGTTATAAAATGAAATATGTTACATTAATACAAACCCCCGCTGGTTACAATCACTACTACCCCACACTATTTGGTGAGAATTCGTATCACAGCTAAAGATGAGTCTGCAGCTAGAACTACAGCGGCCAATTATTGCTTTGGCAACATCAGCTAATGGGTCTTTCTCTTCATAAGGAAGATAGGCAAACACGATGACAAAGTCAGACACTGTTTCTTTGCCATAGAACTTTAACTTTACTACAACTAAGTCCCTATATAGAAAGTTGACAATGTAAAGGAAATTTAAATTACACCCAGCCAATATGCAGACCCTGGGAGGGTCACAAGGGTATCATAAAAAGTATTAAAACACTTCACGTTGAGGCCCATAATTCTACCCTTTCGAATCCAAGGCTCTTGTATAAGAGCAATATCTAAATCTCCATCATTCAGCCGATAGGCTAGATGCAGCAATGCCTTGATGGAGATTAATTTGACCAACTTTAATTGTTACTGTTGTCTCGATTGGTTAAAGATAAGGAAAAATCAGAATAAAAACTACCTATCCAGGTTGGATTTAGAAGAAAGATCTCTCTTTAACAGCTTTATTGTTTCGTCAATACCAAGTATAGATGCTGGTGAAACAGGTCATAAAGTTATATCCGACTCAGAGTTCAACCATAGATCCGATAAATCAAGAGCGAGGGCCAATTGAACTTACCTTAGAATCAGGAGAATTGCCCCCCCCCCAGGGTTCCTCCTTCTGATACACTCCTGGCGTTCCGGTGTGACAGAGAGGACACCCGATGTCATTGGAACCTCTGTTACTCTTTTCTTATTAGGATCGTGGATGAATTTGAAGACTCCATGATCCACACCAGTGGAAGCCCTATAGTCGGCTCCCACTATGTCCTCCATACCTTCAGGTTCAACCTCAAAGATCCATCTAGAAGTGCCGGTCCTGCAGCATTCGGTAAAACTCTTCATTTCGTTGACTTCAACCCTGGGTAGAGTCGCTGAAGACGTCTTAATAAGGTGCCCTGATCGGAGAACTTTTCTTTGGTCTTGAAGACCACCTTCACAGGCTTGGACAATTCATCAGAGCTTAGAGCTAAGCGTGACGTCACTCAATAATTTTTCGTTAAAGTGGCTCTTGATCCACTCCACCGTGTAATCACTACACTGGAGAATAAGAGCCCCTCTGAGTAAGTTGGTGCTGACGATCTCAAGCATCCTTTCACCAAAGGGAATGGCGTCAGTCATCTCTAAGATCCTCCTGAGAATGTTACCAGAATCTCCCATAGGAAGTTTGTCCAAAGGAATATCCTTCATGATAACAGCAATTTTGGTTGATTTGGTTGCATGGGCAAAAGTAACTCCAGATTGGAAGCTCCCAGTTGGGTCCCCCACTCCAGTTTGGTTATCAATACTGAGAAAGACCACTTCCCTGGATAGGGCTCTTCTCCAAGGAACAACATCCTCTCTTGGCTTCTTTCCAATTTGGGTTGGAACACTTGGGGAGGGCGTTGCATCAGTAGGCCTTTTAGCTCCGCCACTCCTCTCAGTGGCCCTCAACTTTTTCTTAAGTTTCCTTCGCTGTCTTATGTACAGCCCAGCAACTCCAGGCAAACTGTCCCCTGTTGTCTCTGACCGGAACCAGAGACTCCAACAGAAGCACGTCTTGTGCTTTTGGACACCTCCTCACCAGCATTAATATCAAGGAGCCTGCAAAGCAGCGGTATTAACAATAGGCTCATCCGAGGGCTTACCATATGCTACTGCAGACTGTAGTGAACTCTTCAAACAGGAACCTCTGCCTTATTCCTGGACTCATCCCTTGTTAACTGGCGCGACGGATGATGCTGTATCACAAGTTTTACCCTGGTGCATCATAGAGTTTGCCTGCCATTTAGTTACCCAGTGATGGGTATCCAGAGGGGGCACCAGGTGAAGGCCGCAGGTATTAACTCTCAACTATTAAATTATAGTGATTCAGTTATTTCAAAATAAATATTATTGTAAAAATTACGGTATGTCAGATGTTTTGTTTCGTAAAATTTTACGGTAAAAATTATCGGCACCCAAGGTGCACTACAATTTTTAGCAGTACATTTACATTGGAAAAAGCAAACAAATACTTCCAAAAGGCTGGATAAGAATATCTCTACTTATATTAATCTTTAAAGCATATTTTTGTGACGTATTTATTTATGTTATTCCGTATGAGGGGCGATTTTAATAATTATTCATTGTATGTTGAATATCTTGATGTGTTGTACTTTCAAAAAGCGCAATAGAAAATAAGTAAATTTTCTAAAAAGATATTTGTAACTTCCTTGATGATTTCTTTTCCCTTCAAACTGATCTATTTTTATTTCTGAGAGTCCATAAAATAAAACCAACCGTTAGAGACGACGAATAGGTTTATATCGATTGAAAAATAGAATTATATTATGGGGACAAATAATAATTTTGCATTCTTTTCTTTCTTTATTTTAACCTTAACTTGTTTCTTCTTTTGTGTATGGATAATTCAAATTGCTTCCATTTTAGGATGGAACAAAAATGCTATTAATTTCAATTCAAAGTGCCTCAGTCCAATGACAAGATTTTGGATAAAAGAACAAAAGCAAACAGACGAGAGTTTTCTTCCAGCCAATGACATCGATCTTCAGAAACAAATTGTTTCTAATCCAGATCATACAACTACTCTATTACCAGACACTATTTAAAAAAATGCATTTTTAAAGAATTTACTTATTGTTAATTACAATATTTATTTACTTGGACAAATGAACGTTAATTTTCCACCCAAAATAATGTTTTAGCATATTTATGTACATTCGTATACTCTTCTCTTGTAGCACGTATATTTTGCACAATCTCTGTAGATTTTTCGTAGTAACTGCGGTGCACAGAACATCTGCTCATGCGCGATACTACTTGAAAGTTCTTTCTGCGAAGAACCCTAGCTTATTAATAGAAATGAAACCTCAGCCGTTTCATGCATTAATATATGAGTACTTTAGACAAATAAAAGAAGTCGCATTATTTTCTGTTATTCCTCAAATAAAGTTTTATTACTTCCAGGAATGCAAATACCTTTTTTTAGCCTCGCTTTATGTTTTTCCGCTGAATAAAAGAGCTCAGTATAGTTTTTTTTTCTTTGCTAACATCAGGCATTAGGAGTGCGAGAGATGAGATTTAGCACAATCATAATTTCATTTCAGGTAAATGAATTATAATGGCATCTTTCTAATTATTTTAGGCAAATCACGGTACTAGAGCTTTTTTCTGTCCCTGCCAGAAAACTCCTTCCATGGAGACGTAAACCAGGGATGGGATTGGATTTTTTTAAAAAATCAATTGTGTACTGTACATACATGCTTTTGCATGCATGTACAGTTCTTAGAAAGAATTGTAACACCAAAAATAACTTTAGACCTGCTGATTTTCTCGTACTCAATCTTAATGATTGAAAGGTAGCCGCAATCTAGAAAATATGGTCTCACTGTTTTCAGTGCCGTAGCGAGCTTAACTCGCGCCCGGGGCACAATACCTTTATAGCGCCCCGCCCCCCCCCATTCGAAAATCATCTAATATTATAAGTAAAATATACTCGCAAAGTAATAAATAAATAAAGTAAAATAAATAAAGTCATAGGCTCAAGCTAGGCATTAAAATTGTGACAAAAAATGTAGTTGAGAAAACAAGACTAGATTTTGAAATGTATATGATCATCTAGAATTAGTTCAAAAGATACCTATTATTTATTTTACATATTTATAAAGAAATATTTTAAAAACACGCAGTTTTAAAACAATAAAAAAGTAAATATTTATTATCTCTAAGGAGATACATATATTTAATAATATGATTATAATACAATAATAAAACTAATTACTATGTGTAAATTTTCCGCTTTTGATGAAGCAAATTTATCAATAATATCATCAAAGTTGATCATTTCAAATTTTTCTCTTTCCACACTTAAAAATGCCAGGTCACTTAGGTGATCTTGTCCCACCGTTGATCGTAGATATGTCAAAATTAATTTTAATTTGCTGAATGACCATTCGCAGTTAGCAATTGATACTGAGATAGTCAGGAGTATTTGAAGTGCCACTCTCAGGTTTGGAAAAACATCTTCTCCATACGGGATTATAAAAGTAAGAAATTCTAATGGAGTTTTAAGTTCAATTTCTTTTCTACAAAGGAGTAACATTTTACAGTCACATTCTTCGATAAAGAGTTCTATTCCATTGAAATCTGTATTATACACTGTACAAACATACAAACGATTTTTGTACAGTGCAAATATTTGGAGATAATATATGTAACCACACAGCGTAGATGCCATAAGGAAGTGCTGACAGATACAGGTCGAGTCAGCCAGCCATTAGAAAAGACGTGTCATTTCTATTATGAATATATTATTACAGTTTGATTAGTGTTCCTTTTTATTTACGAATTAACATTTATTATATTTCACTGGCACTAAATTTAAAATATTTTTTGCAGAAATAAATTATAATAAAAATAAAAATTATCCAACAATTTTTTTTGTTTTGCTGACCATTTGGCGCCCCTTTGTGAGTAGCGCCCGGGGCATGATGCCCCCCCTTGCTCCCCCCTCGCTACGCCACTGACTGTTTTGTCAGGAGAGCAGTCGAAAGCTCTTTTTTATCTTTAGTGTGTTCTAAAATACCTCGATAACTTTCTAACGTGAATTCACACATTTTCACTCACTCTTATAAAATTCTTATACCCAAATAGAATATTCCATGCAAGAATTTTTTTTTATTAATTGTTTATTATTTTTATGTCATTTAATGATAATGAAAATCAAATTGAATTGACAAACTTTTGCATAATTTAAAAGAACTTTATTTTATATAGCAAGTATGAAAGAAATTGTCAAATAGCTCCTTAAAAATCAAATTTTAAAAAAGTCGTGTAGTCAAAATTTAATTTTTCAGGAGCTATTTGACAGTTTTCGTTCATATTTTGTAATATAAAATTGTTTGCCATATAATATATTTTTTTGAGAAAAAACTTTATTATGTTATTATCAAAGCTTTATTTTGTGAAAACTCCTCCACTCTCCTATATACCTTCCACCCTCACTTTTTTTAAGGCAATGTGGGTGGTTTAAGGAGAATTGAATTTATTCTAAAAGGCTGTTTTATGCCTTTTTCGATGTATTTCGAGTTATTGTAGTTATTGTATTGTAGTTCGAGTTATTGTATTGTAGTTTAGAAGTTATAAGCATTTTATGTAGAGAAAGCAGAATTTCGCACTTGTGCTTTTTTACCCATCTTACCGGCACATACCGATAATTGAGGTATTGTTTTCTTATGTATTTTTTTCATATAATGGAATGAGACAAAACACTTTTAGCCAATAGAATTAATATTTCAAGAGTTGAAAAGAGATTTTTTGTAAAAAAAAATACTAGACTTTTTAAAAAATACAAACTTTTTGTCATTCGTTTATATAATGGGGATGATTTTTAAATTCTTTTTGGATGGGAGAAATTTTTTCCAGCCAAATTTATTATAAAATCAAAGTTCTACTTTACCATTATATAAAATAACAAATTCAAAATGAAATACATAATAATCATAAAGCGTACTTACAACTAGTTTTTGGTATGAGGAGACGGGAGTTTTTTCGGTTACAAGTTAGATTTTGAAATCTTTTATTGCTGGGAGATACTTTTTAGATTTTTGCTTCTTTAAGAAGATTATTCTTTCAAACCATGTTCATTATATTTTCACCTCAAAATTTCCATACTAATAAAAACACATTTATAAACAGTGCGTTAGTTGAACTAAAATAGTCTTAATTACTTATCGGGGAATATTTTTTTAAAACCTTTTTTGATGGGGTTTGGACATTGAAAAAGATGTTGGAATTTTAAAATAAATCTAAGTTTTTTCTCAATAAATTCGTATCTCTTGTGACTGCTATGTTCTAAGTCTCCTGTCAAAGATCATAAGAAGGATAAACTCCTCCAATTTTAGTGTAAGAATTCAATTTTTCGATACCTCTTTATAAAGAATTGGAAAATAAAATAGATGGTTCTCTCCTAGAGTTAATAAACTGTGAATATAGGTTGTGTTGTTTTCAAACTGTCTGCATGCTTCCGACGTTTTTCTTTCACTACAAGTTTAACGAGCGCATGAAATGTTCTTACCTCTTCATATGAAAATATGCTATCGTTGTAACTAAAAAAGATTAAATTCAGAAAAAAAATTTCATAAATTAATATTTTTTGAAATAATTAGTACATTTCTAAAAAATTTTTTTAACTACATTAAATTTTTGCTCAACGGCCCAAACCGAAGTGATAGTTAAAATGATTTAATTTTGATATATATGTATATATATATATATATATATATATATAGATATATAA